CCCCCCCCCCCCCCGCCCCGTGTCCTCTTTACTTGACCACACCCTGAAGCCTGAGACCTCTGGACTTCTGACTGCCAGTCAGGGCCGTAAGTCCCCAGACATGTCATTCAAATTGGATTTCTATCAAATCTAACTGTGAGGTTTTCTCTTTACTGGTCTCTTATGCTGAAGTGCATCCTTGATTTATTTTGGGGGCTGGAGCCTGGAGGGCTCGAGGTCAGTCTTCCCCAATTTCATCTCTACCCTTTTTCTTCCAGCCCCACTCTAGGGCAATACATGTTGCTTCCCTCTGGCTTAAAGAGTCTATTGGGATGTTAATGTGGATATTGGAGAACCCCCTCCCCGGCGTAATTGTCTGCCTCTTCTCATCCCCAGAGGAAGGAAAGATCTACTCTTTGGTAGTGAATGAGACCCAGCTGGACCAGCCACGCTCCTACACTGTTCAGCTGGCCCTCAGAAAGGTGTCTCGTTGCCTGCCTCACCTGCGTGTAGCCTACATGGCATCTAACCAGAGCAGTATCCTCTACATCATGGGTAAGAACTGCCTCCCTTCCTGTTAAGACCCCAGCCTTAGAAAGACCCTCCAGATACTGACACCCTTCACCCTTACTCCAGCTCTGTGGATGCTCTGTAGGATGTCCTATGGAGGGCATCTTAGGAAAATGATGGGTTTAGATTCCCAGGCATCACAGCCAATGCATTTCTAGCAGGGTGAGACTCCCTGGATCTTTCAGCTTTCATCTCAGGTGGGGCCTTATCCCTAGGAAATAGGTGCCTAAAGCTGCTGAGCTGAGGGCTCCTGACCCCCCAGACCAGGGGGGAGTGTATTTTGAGGTACATACTCCAGGGGTGTATCGTGATCTCTTTGGAACCCTTCAAGCCTTTGACCCCCTGGACCAGCAGATGCCACTTGCTCTCTCACTGCCTGCCAAGGTAGGATCCTGGAGGGACAGGTCAGACCAGAGGGGTGGGGGTTTAGGGATTGGATGGTGCTGAGGACCTGAAGTAGTAGGAGCAAGGAGCTGGGTGTGGTGGCACACACCTCTAATCCCAGCTACTGTGGAGACTGAAGCGGGAGGATCCTTTGAGACCACCCTGGACGACATCATGAGACCACATCCCAAAAAGAATCAGATTGATCAGGAAGGACAGGGGACCCAGGGAGAGGGCTAACACAGAGGGCAAGGCCAAGAGAGATCAGATGGGGATGGCAGCTCAGCAGTTGGGAGGTTCTGGAGGCCAGAGTTCCTCTAAACAGAACTGGAGGCCTACCTCCTTTTTCTGTCTTACCCCCTAGATCCTATTCTGTGCTCTTGGCTACAATCACCTTGGCCTGGTAGATGAATTTGGCCGAATCTTTATGCAAGGCAATAACAGATATGGGCAGCTGGGAACAGGGGACAAAATGGACCGAGGAGAGCCGACACAGGTGATTGTTTTCCTGGTTTCTCTCATCCCAGCCCCCTTCCTCCAATTCCCTAAACCCTAGATCTGATTCTCTAGTCCCCATAGAGTCTGTGTTATACTCCTCGGGACAGTTAAGCCAATCAGCATGTAAGGACTGTGGTGGTGCTGCATGTCTTACCTAGGGTTGGCATTACGCGGTCTGCCCTGTGTGGTGCACGCTCAAGTGCAGTAGGGATTTCGGGAAGGGGTAGGGTGAGGGACCTGGGGGGCTAGAGAAACTAGAAGAGTCACTCAAGAGCAGAGCCTGGCGAGTCAGAGAGGATTCAGGCAGGGAGAAGGAAAGGCATTCCGTGCAATGGGGATGGGAACAGGGACGAAGCTTACCCATACCCAGGATAGTGACAAGACTGGCCTGACGAAAGCACAGAGGGTGTACTGGGAACCACTGAGATACTGAGGCAGTATAGGTGGGCACAAGCCCGGGGAGGTACGGATTTGGGAAAAGCCACTGCAGGTTCTGGAACAGGAGAAGGCAGGCCCAGGGGGCGGCTGAGGACAGTTGGCTGGTCTTGGTGCATAGGAGGCCCAGGCGGGAGGCCCGCTAGGAGGCTGTTGAGTGGTAGCAGTAGTACTTGAGACAAAGGGCCTGGCGCTGCTACAATGGTGGTGAGAACGGAAAGGAAAGGATACAGGGGAAGGGAATGAACAGGCCTTCCAAACTGATCAGATATAAGAAGAGGGTGTAGACAGAGGTGACTCCTGAAGAAAGATGCTGTCACCAAAAAATGTGTGAGTTGGTTTGAGGAAAAAAAGGTGTGAATTTGGACTTCTTGCAGTGAGAGGAAAACACCAAATTGGAACTGTCTAGCTTGCAATGAGAGTCCAAGTTGGAAGAAGGCTGAAAGACAAAAGTAGAGACAGAAGAGCAGCTCTGGGCGTTGGGCCCTGTTTTAGGAGGGGATGATGAAGAGATGCTTCTGAGCTAGGAGGCACACCCCTCTAGCACCATATCCCAGAAGCCACGGGAGCAGAAAATTTCACACAGTGTAGGTGGGAGGGTAGTTAATGGTGGCAGTGTGACAGTGTAGAAATACACTTACTGACATGCAAAGATGGTTATGCCGTATTTTTAGGTGAAAAAAGTTTTTTGAAATGGTTTCTATCCCATTTTTTGTATAAAAATATACAACTTGCCCAGGATTCACTCTAAAAATAAGTAAATAATGAAATAAAATGATAAAAAGCCACAACTTATGTGTGTTTGTTTAGGCAACAATGAAGAATATCTAGCAAGATGTTAATCGTGGGTGGCAGGATTTCAAGTGATTTTTAAATGAATAAATTTTTGCTTGCCAATATTTTATCATTTTTCTTTCTTTTTTTTTTTTTTTTCTGAGTTGGAGTCTCACACGGTCGCCCAGACTGGAGTGCAGTGGCCGCTCCCGGCCACCGCAGCCTCGCCTGCTGGGCTCCAGCAATCCTTCCGCCTCAGCCTTCCGAGTAGCCGGAGTTACAGGCACGCACTACCACACCCTGCTGATTTTTTGATTTATCGTAGAGATGAGGTCTCGCTGCCCAGGCGGGTCTCAAACCCGCAGGCTCAGGCAATCCACTCACCTCAGCCTCCCAAAGGCACGGGATTACAGGCTGAGCCACCGAGCCCGGCTTCATTTTTCTTTTTTTAGAGACAGGGTCTTACTCTGTCACCCAGGCTGGAGTGCAGTGGCACAATCACAGCACACTTCAGCCTCAAACTCCTAGGCTCAAGCCATCCTCCCACCTCAGCCTCCTGAGTAACTGGGACTGTAGGCATGGGCCACCACACCGGGTTAATTTTTTAAATTTTTTTGTAGAGACAGGGTCACACTGTATTTCCCAGGCTGGTTTCAAACTTCTGACTTCAAATGATCTCCCACATTGGCCTCCCAAAGCTCTAGGATTACAGGCACGAGCCACCATGCCTGGCCTAGTTTTTCTATAATTACCATAAATTACTTATCTGTTTCTTCAGAATTAAAGTATTAACAGTCTCAGGAGAATGAGTGTGCAGGAGAGGCCATGGGATTTAGCAGCTGGGAAGTCAGGTACCTTTGGAGAGAGAGCATATCCATAATCAGTAGCATAGTAGGAAGAGAAGGATCAAAAGGAGGTTCAGGCTGGGCATGGTGGCTCAAGCCTGTAATCCCAGCACTTTGAGAGGCTGAGGTGCGAGGATTGCCTGAGCTCACAGGTTTGAGAACAGCCTGGGCAACATAGTGGGACCTCGTCTCTACAGTAAACCAAAAAATTAGCCCTACGTGGTAGTGCGTGCCTGTCGTTTTGGCTACTTGGAAGGCTGAGGTGGAAGGATTGCCTGAGCCCAGTAGATCTACGCTGGGGCAGCCATGAGCATGCCACTGCGCTCCAGCCTGGGCAACAGAGTGAGGTGAGTGGATTGCCTGAGCCCGTGGGTTCGAGACCCGCCTGGGCAGCGAGACCTCATCTCTATGATAAATCAAAAAATCAG